GTTCAGAGGGTGTTCGGATAATCGATTTTTCGGATAACCGAACATTTCTGGAGAAACGTCTACATACTTCTTTGTTAGGGTAGTGGGATGGGTGGGATACAAAGAAAACACGTTTATTGGACAGGAAATACATTACACCGTAATAATTTTTAATGACACACTAGAGTATTACATATGTACAGTATAAAACAAACATATAGCCTAAAGTAGGGATTGCACATACGATTGAGCTTGTCAGAAAGACTAAGCACAACACGTTTACGTTTTGCCGACATTACTAGAAGTCACTCAGCACAACAATCAACAGCACGACAGTTAAAAACAACACTGATGTCAGTGACACAAATTGAGGTTAGGTGTATAGGTGAACATGGAACGTCGGGTTGGCGCGAATTTCGAATTTACCGTCTGAAGCGCTTTCGGTTAACCGACGTTTCGGATGACCGGCTTTCGGATAATCGGCGCTCTACTGTATTCGCTTCTTATCTCTGTCACAAAGGAATAATTTTGGAATCACGAAGTGGCGTATCTGACTTTGAACATAAGTAATAATCTATGCAAATATTACATAATATGTTAAAATACATTAAAACTAAAAAAATGTATGTTTAATTTAATAATAAATGAAATAATATAGTTTTGAAAACGGACGTCTCTTTCGTTTTTACGCCGCTGGTCTGTACTGTGGACTATTATATCATCATAATTACCTTGTCAGTTATGTCAAAATCTCTCAAATTGAAACTATCGTGATCCAGACGGTCTTCCTCTGTTTCTTCCACGTCTATGTTCAACGCGTCATACAAGAGTGTCGTAATCTTCAAAAGCTCTTTAACAGCATATCCATCCGCTTGATACAGCCTTTTGGTGTTCAATTTCACATTGGCTTTCAACGCCTACAAGCAGAAATCACTAAATTAGTTGTTTTACAAATAAAATTGCCTTTTTTACCATAAACTGAGCAGCGCTGTGGATAAGCTTCACTCTTTCATCCTCGGTGGCTATTTCTAGAGGAATATCGATGTCAGGGTCGAAACGTTTGGCTAGCCATACAAGTAAATCAGCCACCAATGGGAAGTTAGGCTTCCGAAAGCTTTCCATGGACACCAGTGTGGAATAGCCCAATGCCCTAAGCATTTCGATGAAGTCTAAAATAAGTAGATGAATGTAACTCAAAATGAACCAAAAACTAAGTAAGAAACAAATAAAAGTAATAATATATTCAATAAAAACTAAGTATTTATGATTTTCAACTTAAATTTGTCTCATGCTGAACACCTCGTAGCGTAACTAAACAATTTTACACCAATATAATTAAGATATCTTTCAAAGAACGATATTTTAATGTAACGATATCAGTTGATTATTATTTCGAGTAGAATAATTATGCAAAAGAGTTGGTTTAAAATATGTTCAAGCTGTTTTTAATATAATTATTTAAATATAAATATACATGGTACCGTTAATAATTGATGCTTTTTACAGAACGATTTACAGTAATTTCTGTGTTTGTATTCGCATTAGCAGATATACCCCAAAAATGTTGTTATATTACTATATTAGTTTTCAAAACTTCAAATACTTACTGCGAACGTCCCTATATGACATTTTTTTATTTGACAACCGATTTGGCGGTGCAGTGTTTGTAAACCAAGCGTCGTCGTCGCCAGGAACAACGTAGTTACCAAGGTAATCGATATTGCTTTATTGAACCAAACTTGCAATATCGCCACCATCAAAACGAACGTGTGCGTTGTAGGTAGCATATTTTTCAGACACAACACTATTAAAGATGTACTTCGAAGTCTTCAGTTTTTTCATAATTAGAAAATTTCTTTTAACATTTCAAGTAGTGTCATATTAGCAAACGATTTCTTCATTAATAAAAGTTTATCTTTATTTTTCAAGAGAATTGACTCTCCATAAAATTTACGCCATTGTTTCCAGAATTATCAAATTAGTTTGATCGTTTTCGATGTACTTATAAGAGAAATGTTTAACGCTCGAGCGCTTGCGCTAGTGAGACCAATTTTCACGTGCTTGTAACGGCATTTTACTCTCATGTTTCGTCCAATAGCCGCAGTTTTTAACGATGAATCAACTCCCATATAAAAATGCGTATATATTAGTGACGTTTTTGTCACTTTCACACCGATAAAAACTCATGTTCCTCTAATCTAAACTATACTTAGTAGGCGCATGTCAGTTTGAAATATTTCCTGTCATTACAATTATTTAGTATTGTTGAAAGTGTGTGTATAAAATATACATAATATGAGTCGTTTTGGAAAACTTTCGAATGAACAAATTAGAAAAAACATAAAAAATCGTCGATGTGAAGACAATTTATGGAGTTTTGTCAGATTCGAAATTACGAACTGTCAGAAATAACTCCATTAGAAAATATAGCGCATAAGTTAAAGGATTTGGAAAATAATATGAAAAAGAAATCTGGAGATTACAAAGAATCTGCAGTTAAAACAGTATGGAATTCAACTGCAAAGATGATTCAAGAATAATATTTCATTGAATATAACATTAAATTTGATCCTTTTATCGACATAACTTTTAAATAAGCTCGTGATGCAAGAAACAGTGATAGAAAGGAATTACAAGCTATTTCAGAGAAAATAAATGTATGTTCTGTAGCAACAGACAAGGAAAATATATTAAAAATGGCAAAATTGTGGAATATAAATGAACCAGAGGGATTACAAAAAAGATTCTTCCATATAGCTTCCTATGAAATGGTTTGGAGAGGAGGAGGGGCTACTTAAAAGTGAATAAATCAAGATGGAACCCCAAAAGGAAGAATCGAGTACAATATTTTCGAAGACAGCACAAGACGGATCGAAAAAATTGACAGATAGCAAATGGATAACAAAAAATCAGAACGATAATTTATCCAACACTTGTATGTAATGATACTATAATTAATAATGTGGCCTATAAGTCAGTAGTAAGTTATGGCTTATAACCCACTAGTGATATAAATCATAAAAAGAGAAATGTTTGGTTTATTTTTCTAGTTTTTATTAGAAAACCAATTTGAAACAGTAATAAGTCAACAAATAACCAAAATGATACAAACTTACAATCTACCTACTTATTAATATTAACATTAACATTTATGGTAAAGCCGTAATTTGATGTCAAAGGATTATTGGAATCATTTTGTGATTGTGATAAATTTATAGAACAGGTTGCCCCTTTGCTTGTGCCTGCTTCAAAAGTCTGCACCCCTTGTATCTTTTTAGCAATATCAATTTTGCCGGAAATTGACTCAATGTCAGTTTTTCCTGTAAAATTACTGATTGGCAAAATTATTTAATTATAAAGAGATACTTATCTGACAAAAAGAAAAGCTCTTGTGATTTTGCTGTTGAAAAAAAAATTTGAAGAGATATTTGGTTGCTAAAATCTATCGTCTTGGAGACGAAAGAAAAGCAAAGTATTTCTTGACAAATAAATTTACACTTTCGATACAACGAAAAAAAACCTTTTTTAAATGCTCTAAAATTAATAAAACATTTCACAAAATTTTCCCTTCCTTCGCCGCTCTAGTGACATTGTGAACCCATACTAGAAACTCCAACCGCGCTCTTGTGAATCCATTTTTTTTCAATGAATATACCTACTATAACGATAAAAGCACTAACTATTAATTGCATCGTTGGTTTCGCGAAGTCGTTTGAAAGCATTTAATGCAAAAGGACAAATTTCTGCCTCTACAATGACTATAGCAGGTTAGCTTCTGTCCCATCTGGCCATGATACTGTTAAGGCCGTTATGGTGGTGACTCTCTGGCTGTTCCTGGTAGAAAAAATGACTAGGTTTACTATTGTCTTACCGTGGGTATTCGATACAGTCGTACTTGTAGATATAATATCGAGATGTTTTGAAATAGGAAGTCGAATAGTACACAGTGACTGTTTTTAGAAGAATACTTTACCAAGGCAAAAAAAATCTTAAAATCAGTATGTTTGGCAGCAGCGGAATTATTATTATTAGTTGATTCCTACAATTGAGTTGTGTAATGCTAAATATCGTTATTTTAATTCAAATTTAACCTTATATGAATTATTAATTATGTGAATTATTACTTAGCTCAAGAGAAAATAGTTAAACAATAATTAATAATTAATAGGCGAGCGGTTCACCCCTAAAAAAAGGCATGAACCGAATAAATTTTTAAAACAAAAACCTACTACATGAAACTTTTTAATTTTATAGTGTATATTTCTGATAATTTACATATTTTTTTAATTTTTTCGGCGTGATCAGTTAATTGTTATAAACAAAAAAGTTGTAAAAAAAATATATTCGCCGAATAGCTTTGAGAATTTTATTGTAAAATGGACCAAAATAAACACTTTTTGTCCTTTGACAAAAATTTGAAAAATGCTTCGTTTCCGAGATATTTACAATTTAATGTGAAAAAAGTGACGAAATCGACAAACCTTCGGAATTTTTTTCTCAAAAACTACTGAACAGAGTTTAATTCTAAAAAAAGCATAATAATCGGCAGATTTTCTACTTTAAGATATATTTTTTTTGGTATGGATCAATCATTTTATTGAAGGTCTAAAGCGAGTAAAAAAAGTCTTTTAAAGAAAATTATGATAACACTTCAAATTTAAATTTTCTTTTTACAATATCTTGGATTAGATTATATTTACAACAAACATTATTATGACTTTTTTTAATCGATATATGTTAACAGTACAAATGTTCAAAAAATTATTTTGTTTGGTTTTGTAGCCGGAGTAAGGTTTTTGCATGTAATTATAGAAAAATTTAAATATTCGATTTTTGGTTTCATAAATGGCTAAAATTAACTTGAAAGTTATACCAACACTAAACTAAATAAGCCTTTTAAATCGTAAAATTAACCTAATAATAATAATTGACCTAACGGTCTCGAAAAATAAAAAAGTTATTGGATAATTTATTGTATAGGATAATTATTTTATTTTTATTTTACAAAAAATATTAAGAGCATTAAAAGTATATTAATTTCTTTTTTTATTTAATTTTTAAATAATAAGTATTTCGTTATTTTTGACAAGTTCTTGAGTTGAAATAATTCATCATCACAGCATTCCAGGTTCAATGACAAACAGTTACAATTTTTCGTAGAACATTTTCCACTACATGAACAAAAATATTTTTGAAGCATATCTAACGCAGTTTCTCCTTCGAAATAATTAAAATCCAAACAACCATTTTCGATTTTCCATCCATGTGGCAATGGATCTAGAGTTACAATTTCACTATTTGTAAACTGTTTTTTTTTACTCGCTTTAGACCTTGAATAAAATAATTGACTATACCAAAGAAATATATCTTAAAGTAGAAGATCTGCCGATTATTATGCTTTTTTTAGAATTAAACTTTGTTCAGTAGTTTTTGAGAAAAAAAATCCGAAAGTTTGTCGATTTCGTCACTTTTTTCACATTAAATTGTAAATATCTCGGAAACGAAGCATTTTTCGAATTTTTGTCAAAGAACAAAATATGTTTATTTTGGTCCATTTTATAATAAAACCTTTTTTGTTTATAACAATTGACTGACCACGCCGAAAAATGTAAAAAAAAATATGTAAATTGTCAGAAAAATACACTTTATAAAATAAAAAAAGTTTCATGCTGTAGGTTTTTCTTTTAAAAATTTAGTCGTTTACATTCATTTAGAAGCATCTTTTTAGGGGTGAACCGCTCGCCTATAATAGAAACATACATTTTCCTCATAGAGAAAAAAAATATTACGAAAAAAATCGAACCTGTAACTTAAGAATGTGGAATTGAGCAGACTGCCTCGGCCACATTTTTGTCACTTATTTTTTTAGAAAGAAGATAATTAGTTGCGTGTAGTGTAAAAAAATTACACACAAAGGTAAGAAACAGCGTTCTAATGAATACAAAAAATCTGGCATTGATTTTCCATCCTGTATGCACTTAAAATAGCTATTAATTAAATTACAGTCCGTTCGTAAATACCTATAATTTTTCCCATTACACAATTATTGCAAACAAAAACATGAATTATGTAAAACTTTCTCACAATAAATTTGTACGTCTAACTCAAAACATCAGAATTATTTAATAATAGGTAAGGTACACCTGAAATTATCAGTAAGCGT